TTGGAAATTAATTGTAGTCACATTGGTTGGAATGAGCTAGATAGTAGATACTTTTCCTCCTATGGGTTATAAGTATATCACATTCGGCTAAACCTTGGAATTTAGGATCAAGCACGTATACTTCAATGTTTCCTTGAGATTTACAGGTAAACTAATGCCTTAAAGGTTTCTCCACGTGTTCTGTTGATCATGAAATACTGCGATCGAAGATGGGATGCGGAAAATAACGTGGCCGTTATGGGTTTCGATTTTACTGTCGACTTTCGACTTCTTGTGTTTAAAAAAATATTTAGACCTTGTGCTGCTTTAAAAGTTTTTTTTAAAATCATTGAATCAAATTCAGAATATCAATTAGGAACGTCTTCAGTCTTGATTTTAGTGTCGACTCCCGACTTCCCGCGTTTAAGGTGGTTTTTGTCCCATTCATCAGAGTGACACGAGTGCTTTATGTGCTGTATCTCTAGTAACTAAAGGGCAGGAATTTTTATTGGTCGGATTCTAACGTAGAAAAATGAGAACTTTATCTTGGCATTCATTTCTCAACTTAAGGATAAGTCAGGATAAAATTCCACTACATTAGATTATGTTGATATAATGAAAACTGGCCGTGTAGGAAATTAGAATCGTACACCTGTAAACATGTAACGTTAGACATTAATGAAATTATTAGAGCACTGATAGAATAACACGAGCAACTTTCGACGAATATCTTATTATCTAGAAAAAAATAGCCTTTTGCGTTTAAACAGGGTATTTTCCTTAATTAAGCTGTTACTTGACAAAGTTAAACCATTGGCGGATCAAGCGGGATGGGGGTCAGGGCCTTAATTTACTTAATATAGGAAAACAACCTAGGGTGATTTCAGACCTCCCAACTCAATGTAAGGAAGAGTCATTTACTGTTTTATATGCATGTAAATTATTTTTTCTGTTTTTATTGTTTTAGTTTTTCGATTTTGATTTTTGTAGTAGTGGATTTACAATTTCTTCTTTAGCAGCCCCTTAAACTACAGTGTAGGAAAATATTCATGGACCCTCCGATCCCTTCGTATGTTCATAAATTTCACAAAGGTGGGAACAGATTGATTTCGTATTAAGAACATTATTGTATGTCAAATACATTGTAAGACCTATCTCCCATAGACTGTGGGTGTATTTTAAATTTTGGCCAGATGTGTTTTTCAATTAATGATCTAACCTGTCCCTGAACCTATATGTAAGTTATGTTATGCAACATTCATTACCCTTGGATTTTGATTCTTAAAAGAAACCATTAAAATTTCTTTTCGATGCATAAATCTAAAAATTATACAGGCAGTTCATAGTGGAATATAGATATATCCCATAAATAGTGCAAGGGTCAAGAAAAGGGAATAAAACTTTAATGTCTAATGAACCCCGTGAAGTTTTTCGTTTATTTTATCAATAAATCTGCCGTGTTAATGCTGGAATTTATGTTGGGCTTGTATTTACATCACAAAGTTTAATATGACGGTATACGCCCGTTTATCACCAAAAAATTCACATATAAATCAAATTAATTAACATCGGTCGAATAGTGGGCTTTACCATGTAGTTTATATAAATAATGGATAAATATTGGAAACTTAAGTCCTCAATTCGCTTTCAATTATAGAAGAAAATTGGGACCTTTTCATTAGTTAATAAATAGATCATGAATTTGATTATTGCAATAAGCTGGTACCCATTAAAGTCATCAGACAGCACAAAATACAAGATTTGTGCATGCCCTCAAATCGATAAATATAACCTTGACTTTTATTCTTTAAAAAAAATCAAGCAGATTTTGTTGTCATGAAATTAATAATCACCAAAATGTAAAGTAAAAAATGTACACACATCCTATAGTAGTCTGAGAAATTAAGCAATACGATTTCATTTTAAGTCTTTCTGTGGACCATTGAAATCGGTGGAATCAGTTTTAAAACAATTTCAGTCTTTGATGAGACGGATACTGTCTGTGGTTACTCGCACTGTGGCCTCGGGCTATCTTGTTACTGCTATCTCTCCGGATCTCACTAATCACCCCATTAACACGATTTCCCATTAACCCCTTTTAAAACAAAACCAGAGAGAACCTACAGGGATCATGCACCCGATTTCCGACAACGCGACAGGTGTTTTCTAAAAGAAATCCATCATGATGTAACCACAGCTATCCCCTTTGGGTCTCTATGATAAATTGTAACCAAAGCTTCGTTCATTTTTATCCTGTCGACATCAAAACGTGTACAATAAATGCAGATGTTTTCAAATTTCAATATCTCTTATGATTGTCACAGAAACCGGGAATTGATGTCGATGAACGCTGCGAGGATGGGCTCTAACTTCGAATTTTTCTGGTCAATCGATTTCCTCGTCCTAATTTGTCAAAAGTCAAGGCTGGGGTGATTGTGTGCACACTTCCTTAGGGTTAACTAATAAGTGGCACACTCCCGCTTAATTAGAAAAAAAGGAAGTAAGAACACTTTATTATCAATGAAGAATTGCGTTCCTCTTTACTAAGAAATACTTCCTTTTTACTTAAGAAATTATGGTAAACTCACTTTCATAAATACACAAGACCTAGACAATACCCTTATATTTGAAACTAAGATAACTAGTATGTACCGGGGATATATAACTGTTATTTTGAATTCCGTTTTTTACAAAGAAAATTACTATTATATATCACTACTATTTGTTTATTTGTATTTTATTGTTATGACTGACTAAGATAAATGTGTTTCTGAACTGCGGAAGATTAAGATCCGACAATTGAGAAACCTCCATCGACATTTGAGAACTTAATAAGGATCAACTGAACAACAGGTCAAATAGATCTACCGAGCGTGTCCGGGGGTTTAAATCTGATGGAGACGATACGAGGGGAGTTCAGTAACCCCACCCGGGTATTTAGTGTTATCTTGTCCATATCCGGTTACAGGTCGTGTAAGCTACTCCCTGATTGGTCAATTGAGATACTCAGTAGTCAGTGTTTATCATAAGGTCGAACAGTGATGAACTGTAAAGTTCATCTGGGGTCATCTGATACCATAGCTGATGTTGCGACGTTTTAAAAATAATATACAATTTGTAGGTTAAAGTTTTAACCCCAATATGATCGATTGGTACGCTGATATGAAGAACATTAACAACAATCCGCAATTTGTCACAGTTTACACTGTTCCTTAATTTGTTCAATTATCAAAAGAGTTTCTTTTTAGAAGCATGAAATTGATAAGACAAGTTTGTATGAAAACAACATCCTCACGTAGTATTTATTGGAGTTTGTTTAATTTTTATACACCTGGATCGAAAGATCCCGGGGGTATATTGTTTTTTGTCCTGTGTGTGTGTCTGTAGCTGTTTATCTGTTTGCCTCTCTCTCTCTGCCTGTTGTCAATTTTAACCTAGCCAATAACTATTGAGTGGGTGGGACTGTGTCTTTCATATTTTACAGGTGTATTCCTTGTGACAAGACCTTTCTTTAGGTACCACCAAATTTGACCTCTTGACCTTGGAGTTTGACCGACTTTTTCACAAAAACTCACACATGATCCTTGGCCATAACTTTTGAGCAATTGGAGCTAGGGCTTTCATACTTCACATGAATTGGGATGTGTTCATCACAGTGCCATACTTCTACTTAAAAATAAAAGCATCATCCAGATTTAATACACAAAGATTACTTGTGTGTACCTATGTGTAACAGTATACATGTATATGTTTGCTGCTGGTTCAAAATGTTGAAAACAGGGACCTTCGCTGAGTTCAGGCTTGCAATATAATATATCATGCTTGAAATCGCAATAATATGACTCAGGTGAGCTAGATGACCCGAGGCTCTCATGATAAAATAAAGACATGAGGTGTACATTATAGAAAGTGTCTTTATTTTCCCTAGCTATTCGAACACTGGAAGCGACTGATGAACGTATAGTGTAACATATAATCTCTTTAAGGTGTATAGCGCACCTTTCTCCAATATTTTTTTGGGAAGACGGTCTCTTTGGAATTTTTTATGTTTAGGACTTTAATGATTTTTGTTCCTTCAACGATATTGTATTCACTAGAAGACCTGCACCTGTAGATAAATCAAGACCTGGGCATAGTTCACTCTTATAAAAAAACATCTTTACATATTTCCCGTCACCTTCTTTCACCTTTCTCTGTGTTCTATCGTCGATGGACTTAAAACTTTGCAACATTTCATGTTTTCTTGGATTAAGTTAAATTCCCTGACGACTTTCCCAGCACACCGCGTCAAGGTAATGCTTTGATTTGACACCGAAGCAGTGTCGGTGATTGTATAATGTCGTGTCGTATTGACACAGGGATTTTGTATGCAATGACAGGGCTGATCGAGTTCATAAAAAAGTCGGGTCCTAATCCCCTGACATACATTAATGCACCCTCAGTAATCTCCCGCCTTTTACGCAGCGGATTCATGTCTTAATCCAACGAGCAGATGTTAATTCGCCCTCCGAGATCTCGGGTCCGGGATCAGTGACCCCCCACAGCGAGGTGACAAATCGAGTGTGACCCGGAACAGTCGGGGGCATATCAACTTTGCACAATGCAAATAAATAAATACTAGTATTTAATTGAACGGGAATTTTCTTTCCCTCAAACCTTGGAAGAATTCAGCATAAAATTTTGTTTAAATGATTCTTATATGACTATCATAACTCCATACACAATACGCATATAGATACTAATTAGAGTCTATCCTCTCTTTTTCATCAAATATACTATAAAAGATTATGCTAAAAATAATACTTTATTCAAATTAAAACAATATTGCTTTCCCTTCAGAGGGAGAAATTGTTTAGATATAAATGCTAACTAGTACTACATGTATATTTTTTGGATGCGAGACTACAGTCGGTGTGAAGAAAAAAAAAGATTCGCTGTACAAGTATATACGTATTAAAATAAACGATAACAGTTATTAATCATTTGAATATTTAAAATATCAATTCTTTTAATTTTTTCAGAACTCTTTATCAAAGTAAGCAGAAATCTTGGACTGACGATAAAAATTGTTCGAAATCTCTGGGACTTATCGGCAAGCAGAGCAAACAGTGTAAACAAAATCTGGACTTAATGGGAACAGTTGCGCACGCAGCTTATGTTGCCATGGATACTTGTCAAGGGCAGTTTGCAGACAGAAGATGGAACTGTTCGTCTGTTCGTAGGGCGCCAAAATTATCACGTGATCTCACCAGAGGTAAATTCTTCGTCCTTTTCAGTTTACAATTACAAAATTACTGCTCTGCACACGTTCTTGTTAAAGATAGAGGACCATTTCGAGATGCATCAAAGAATTATCATCGTAATTGTTTTAAACTTCTTTAAAAATATTAAAATTGCTAACTCAACCATATATCTAACAGGCGCGTAGCATCGTTTTTGGAAGTGGGGGGGCCAACCTGAGAAATTTTTTTTTTACATACCTGAAAAGTTGACAAGCAAAAAAAATTAAAGGGAAATAAAGTTGCCCGAAGTCGAAAATCCTATTTCGTGGGGGGGGGGGGGGGGGGGGGTAGTGGCTAACTTTTTTCAAGACCAACTATCTTTCAATTCAAACCTTTTGGGGTAAATTTTCTTTATAACACAACCCTTTGCTGAAATGTGGGGGGGCCAACCTTCCTTCAGTAAACATTTTCTATCGTAAAGGTAATGTCGGGAGAAAAAGTGGGGGGCCAGGCCCCCCCGGGCCCCCCCTGATACTACGCCCCTGTCTAATATATAACTCAACTTGACTCAACTTTCAAAATAATACATTAACTAAAAAGATTTTATGTTTACACAAATACAGTAAAATGAATGCAGATAGAAGACATGTAGGAGACTATTGTGAGAATTCATGAAATAATGATGTGTTAGATTTTATTATAGACCGCTTGTCTGTATCTACTATCAACAATACACAGGTATTATGTTATTGACACGGTGGTAATCTCTCTTAATAGAATGGTATCCCTTTACTGAAAATTTAATTAAGTCCAAAGATTTCTTTTAAAGAACACATGTAGTCAATAAAAGATCTGGCCTTGCCCATCACACCTTGGATGAGAACGTGACGAAATGCTATAAACTGTATACCCTTCATTTACAGTGGTTTATGAAGCATTAAAAACTATCTGCCTTATAATTTAGCAGCCAGAAAATAGAATATTTCCTGCATCTTTGACAAAAATAAATCGTAAATAAATTAAGAGTGTATAAAAGAGCTGGTGCTGGGTTCCGTCTCGTTTAGAGAATAAGGGTGCGAAACATCTTACATAACGAAGAAGTATGGTCATTATACATGTACAAGTACCACTGTTCTGAAATTCAGTAATTTATTTTCTGTCAAAGTTAGTGAGAGAGAGAGAGAGAAGGTACATGTACATGCTATAACATTGCAATTATTTATCAATCAGATATGTTAATAAAAGAGTACAGTTACTTTGAGAAGGCTCAGGTATAACATAAAAGTTCACGTCTATAGATTATCATCTATTTAGATTAAGGAGTTTATATATTCTTTTGTTTTGAAAAATATATATAACAGAAAGCTTAAGATTATCGAAGAAAGGGTCAACTTAGCAATCAAAGTCAACAAAACAAGAAAACTAGAAATGCTTAAAACTTAAAATGCGTTTATTATCTCAAAATTTCAAATTCGATGTAATTTTTTTTTCTATATAGATGGAAAGTGACAGGTCGCTATTCTGTTATTTTTTCAACGACCTTTATAGACCCCTAAAGTTATTTTAAATGACCTTTTTATCCTTTGTGCATTTGCTAATTATGATGTGAAACAAACGGTATTCTCAAGGAAGTCGTTTATGAGGATTTGTATTTCTGCAAACATTGAAGCAGAACATTATATAAATTGTGAAAGACAGGACATATAAATCTACCAATGTAAAAATAACGCGGTATCATCTCTCTGATTTATTCTGTTACCAAGCCGGAGATAAGCTCCATGATGTATTTGACTTTTAGTTAGGAAATGTTATCTTCCGCTAGGTGTTGAGGTGGGATTTCTGCGTCTTGTTAATCTGTAAATAAAACGGAACGAGTGCCATTTTCGATTATTTATGAAGACCTCTCTTTTGCTTATTCTCTCTGTTTATTGTCATTTTCTAGAATCAGAGATTCATAAAGCAATGTCTGATTGAGAGGCGGCAAAGAGGAAGCACATTATTGGCGCGAAACCAGGCATAATTTGCCAATAAATAATTCTTACATAATTATTGTCCTTCGGTGTTCTGTCTTTAACATTATTTGAGGGTATTATCTCAAATGAATGAGAAATGATTTCGTAAACAGATCTGAACTTGATTAAACTTTAAATAAATCTTTATCACTATGATTAATTATAATGACAGTAATATGAAATACAGCATACTACTATGCTAAAATTTTTCTGAGTATAAATTAATACCATCTCAACATATTCCAGGAACCAGAGAGCAAGCTTATGTATACGCTATAGCCTCGGCCTCTCTCGTGCATTCCATTGCACGTGCATGTAGTGTGGGAGTGACCACTAAATGTAGTTGTGGAGCTCTCCCTAACCACCCACCCCAAGAGGAATTTAAGTGGGGAGGTTGCGGGGACGATCTGAAATATGGACTCCACTTCGGCCAACAGTTCACTGATGCAGAACTGATGAAGAAAGGCAAAATTAGAAACTCCAAAAAGTCAAAAATGAATAGTCATAATAACGCCGCTGGACGCTTGGTACGTTTATTATATTTTTATCATTATTTCACAAACTTACGTAACGTCATTGGAGCACATGACGTAATGAATCTTGTACAGGTCCTAAATAGTCTGTAACTGAGAATATTAGAAGCACGAATTTGTAATCTTGTAAATTCTGACCTAATATTAAATGAAAAATCCTTGCAATCTTATATTTCGGATAACATTTATGAATAACTATATTTCTGAGCTAATTAAGGTGTTTTATAGTCGTATAAATTGGTTACTGAATGATGTAATGTCACATTTTTACCTTCCAAGTAAATAACTTTTCGGATCAAGTAAACATGAAAGAATATGAATCTGGCTTTCAGTTTTCAGTTTGCAAATTCCAGTACATGTAATTTACCTGTCAGTGATTTTATAATTTTTGAAAAAAAAGTTTTCAAAAATTCCCTTAAGATATATGTTATAGGTAGTTTGTCTATTTTTCTGAAGATGTTTTTATGTTAATTACTATTGTTTTACAGATTGTAGCCCAGAGTATGACCACAGCGTGTAAATGTCACGGAGTTTCCGGTTCCTGCTCCATAAAGACATGTTGGAGGTCACTTCCGGATTTCTCTGTGATAGGAACCACCTTAAAAAATTTATACGCCAATGCAGTGGAAGTGCGGAGGAAAAAACGCAAAAATAAGCGGATATTTGTCCCCGTGAGACCTAATGTACAGAGTGTTTCCGAAAAATCTCTGATTTATTTTACAAAGTCCCCAGACTATTGCAGTCCGGATCCTAAAACGGGGTCAGCCGGAACTCAAGGGAGGTTAGTAATGATAAACAAATAATAATTTTAAAAAAATATTACAAAATCAATTTGACTTTATTAATAAGTTCTATATTTTTGCAATGACTTACGATAAAGGACTATTTTCATATATAACAAAACATTAAGTTTGATCTCTTCTTGATATTATGCGATGTGTCTTGCTTATAGTAATCTGCTGGTGCGCTGATGGGCAGTATCTGTTTCATTTAAATGCACTGCTCGTCCACTGATGGCTTATAATTGAATTTGCCTTCTGTCCAGAGTTGGACGAATCTTTTGTGTCTTAAACACATTTTATGATGATTACGATTGACAATAAGAAGAAAGAGACCCTTCTTATCTTCCTATTCTAGAGAACTGGGTTCTCAAAAGCGACCTTTATTACCTCTTTGCCCTAGAGAGCCGAGTTCATGCTCACAATATTCTCAGCGATACCATCAGAGAAGCCCTCGCGTTCTTTTAAAGTGATAAAAATTTCCCCTCGTAAATCTGCTACAGTTGTGATGTATTAATCATACGGACTGTGATTAAGGTGTTAGCAAGCGTGAATGAAAAATAAATTAAGTCTTCTCAGATTTAAACTTTTGACTGATTCAGGTCTTGTATTACATGCAGAGAGAATGTAATCAAAGAGAGATAACTTCTGAACTGTTTTCCGTATTAGATAGAATACTTAATATATATGTAACACAGGATCATCCACGCAGCGGACGATGAAGGGTAGCTATAATATAAATGTCAGAATTCATCGCTCCCCATGCACTGAAGACGCGAATAACCAAATATTCGTTTTTTATCGTCTTTCATGAAATCAACTCTCTTGAAGACTTTTACTTAAATTAAACAATAAAATATTTACATGGACTGGATATATTTTTTTCCTTTATTTATAAAAAACAATTGCGTTTATCAGTCAGTAAACATCACTAACTAAACCACCTGCTTAGATTTCATGGCAGTGGCTATTCCATTCATCAGACGTACAAAGGTTTACCGATGATGTAATGAATGATTTAAAATGATGTACCGATAAATACAATAGTTAAGCTACCTTATTTATCCTATATTAGTAACTACTATATATGATTATTTGAACATATATTGCTAAAAACACTTAAAGATCTTTCTTTGAGTGTTAGTACGGGAATTAAACATTGAAGCCAATGGCTTACATGGGTAATGTTTTATTCCTGCAACAGCTGCGTCATTAATTCCCTTACTAACAAAAAAAAATAACGCATTTTATTTTTAGATAAAATAAAGTGTATACTAGTATATCATTAAAAATTACCCAGAAAATTACAAATAAGCAGTGAGAAATGCAGAAAATGACGTATAATTGTTTGATTTGTAATTTTATCCTTTTGTTGTAGGTTTTGTAGGAATGACAGTTCCGGTTGGGGCGGATGTGACGCAATGTGTTGTGGGCGGGGCTACCGCAGCTTCACCAAAAAAATAGTAGAACGATGTGAATGTAAATATTACTGGTGTTGTTACGTCAAATGTAAAACATGCGAAAAGACGCTCCATCTAAATGTTTGTCGATAGTTGTACAGTGTACTCAGTTTAAATGAAACTCTTCTACGGGACGTGACCGAGATTGCGCTGATATTCAAGGTACCTTTTCACTCAGATGCTCTTCTAAAGGTGTGGATGTATTAAAAAAAACTACCAAGCTTATAGTGAATGAATTTTGATCACAGGGAGAACGGTGAACTTGAACTTGGAGTCGTTAATGTGAGCGTAGAGCTGGAAAACTCAATTTTAGCCAGTGAGATTGCACCTACCACAAATGGTAGCTGTTTAAAACCCAATCCTGCAGTAATTAAACTCGAGCATAAAGCGAGTGATTCGAGTTCTACAGCGAGTGATTCGAGTTCTACAGGTGGAGAACTGGAACAATAACTGTGGAACTACTCAACTCTATGTTTTTTTTTTTAACTTGAGTCTGTAGGTTTTAACTTCAGCTTAAACTACCTGTCTGAAGCTTATAGTCCCAAGCTTATAGTGAACTTAAGCCTATAACATATGAACTCGAGCCCCTAGCCAGTGAATTTGAACCTATATTTCGTGAACTCGACCCCCTGGTCAGTAGACTCGAACGTATAATTGTGAACTCGAGCCCCTAGCCAGTGAACTCAAACCTATAATTTGTGAACTCAAGCCCTGAGTTAGTGAACTCGAACCGATAATTTGTGGACTCGAGCCCTAAGTTAGTGAATTCGAGCCTGTATCATTAACTCGATCTTCGTGTTGCTGATGAACACTAGTTTAGAGCTGGTTGTATTATCTGCAAAGTTCAAGGTCACAATTTATTAACAGTGACATACAAGAATACTGCCTACAGATGTTATATTTAATTGAAATCCAATGTACATTGTATGTAAATAAATGAAATTTATCTCTTTTGTATAGGAAACAAATTGTTATCATTTTTTGTTGATATGGAATTGTAAATATATTGTTATATTTATACTCTTTACAATGTCATATAAGCATGTACAGTGTACAGCTATTTGTTACTAAAGTTATTTTCATTGGAAATCATCGATTTACATAGGCCTTCAATTTTTAATTACATACATGGGTCGTATATGTACAGTATATGTTGTATACTTGTTATAAATGATTTTTTTTTTATTTTTAGAATGTCATGTTGTATTAATAATATAACATTATCTTATCTCTTCCTTAATGTTTATCAATGATTATATATTTTTTTCTTTCCTCTTACTTTTCACCTGGATAATTACTCAGTACTATATACAAGTATAAAGACGTAATTCTATGTTTAATGTCATTGGCGCGCCTTAGTACTAGTTTTCAAGAAATTGAAAAAAATAGCATATTTAAAATATCTGTATTACCGCTTTTGCCTTTAGTTTCAAAAACTAAAAACTCCGTGCGTTCTACGAGAAAAAAAAACATTATTTTGTCTCAGTATGAGATGTATTTTGGAATGAGTAAAATAATATTTCTAACTGACAGATTTATCAGATATAACCATTTACCGATACTGTTACATGTTCACAAATATCAAAGCATTTAGATTCAAGTAAATGGAAGAATACTCATTTGAATGTTTTATTTTGGTTCATTTTCCCCTCTTTCATTTGGTTATGTATTTTAAGGTGACGTTAAACGTAGAATTAATTTTATCCAGCCTTATTTAAAAACGTTTAATTTCTTTAAGTTTAAGATGTCCTTCAATCGGTGTGAAAACCACACATTAAAGTAGTTTTACGAAAATAATGTTTTAAGTACCTATAATAGTAGAAAATGATCTACAACTCTACATCCGGTCAACTCTACATCCGGTCTTCTATAGTTAAACACCAGCATTATGCTCATTGTTGTGACAAAAATGTCTAGTAAAATGAAGTAGATAAAATGAAATAAACGTCCTTATATTTTTACATTGGGTGTTTGTCTTTATTGGAATCTACCAAGTATAAAGTGATTTTCAATGTATTTCAATGGATTACAGTTATAGTTAATATTTAAGGTTGTGTTCATGTAAAGGAGAAATGATGTTTGTTTGCCCTCCCACGAATCGGAATGAAGAAAAAAGGGTCGGTACATGTAGGTAGATGAGATTCTTTTCGGAAATTTCAATCTGGAATGCTGAATTAAAAAAAATAAATTCAAGAATGCATTAAAAAACAGTTACTTCCTGGAACTTTTTTCAAAGTCACTTTTAGCCTTTCGGCAAACTTTGGCTGATTCCATCACCTTCATCATATGAGTTATAAATCAGCAGAGGTGTACTGCGTGCATTTTTAGCTAGCATGTTAACCCTGGTTCCCTGTCCCTGTTATGCTTTGTGTACTCCGCGTCACTAGGGCTCTTCTTGGCAAGGATGTGCCAGGGGACCAGCCTAACTTTTAGCCAGTCGGCCAAGAGAGGGCAACCAAACAATTTCTTCTTTGAAAGATCAACGAAGGAATAAGATATTTTCCCCGAGAAAACTGATATATTCGTACAATAGATTAATCTTTAGATTCAGTCTCTGTTAACTGTCTAAGGAATATAAAGTAAGCATATAAAAAAAGACTCAAGTTCTTGTACCGATGGAAATGATGGATACAAGAAATGGAATCAAATTTACATCATCTTTAAATTAAATCAGGTAATCACTTATAAAAATACTCTACAAATTTGTACTTTTTAAGTTGAACTATATATACTAGGAACTGTATAACTATAGTTACACCTTATATTGCTCAATTTTTTCTCAAAGACAATCAGATCTATTAGAGCTTTTATTCGAAGAATGTATGATGCATTTAGTGGAGTTTTCAAGACACATCATCATATAAAATTGTCAGTTGGAATTAAAAGTGACCTTAGAATGTGGCTGGTGTTCTTGAACCATTTCAATGGGGTAGCATATTTTCCTAATACTGTATGGGAAGATTCTAGCATTTTTTCAGTTATTTACAGATAGTGCAGTTCAGGTCATTTAGGTTGAGGGGTTACTTTAGAGTAAGTTGTTTTTTTTCAAATGGCCAAAACACTGGAACAACCAAGAAATTTTGAGAGACATGGCTTTTCTTGAGCTCACACCAGTAGTTTTAGCAATAGAGATATGGGGACGTACATGTAGGTTGCTACATAAAAAAGTTCAGTGTCATGTTTATAATTCCATGACCCCCACCTCTTATGGATGTTGTTCACTTTGTTGCATATCTTTCATTTAATTAAGGTAGGATTCTTCTCTGGTTTCGGAGTAGATGAAATATTCAATGTATATTTGCTAATATGCCTAGTATATACAGGTGAAAGAGATTTAAAACACCATATTTTCTTTTCTCATCACAATTGTACAAATTTAAATAGAAATGGTAAATTGTGTTCGAAAACTAGCAGGGACTATATTTTTGGCGGAATGGTGGCGTATGAAAATATCTTCTTTTCTGCCTCTCAAAATTATTACAGAACAACAAATTTAGTTATAATTTTTACACAATCAAAGACTTGAAGAATATTTCAAATGTTAGATAAATTAAGAATAAGGAACTAAAGTTTTAAAATATATCAAATAAATATGATTTTTCAAACAAACTACTGTTATGTTAGCATTTAAAAGCTTCCAATCTAAGTACAAAAAATTCGTCTTTTTACTTTCTAAGTAAACGGTCAAAACGTTTTCTTTTTGTATCATTTTGTATCTCTATACGACTTCTTTACCATGTGTGAATATAAGAAAAATTTAATTATAGGGCGCATATAAAAATAACTTCAATATCCTAAACAATTAAGAAAAATAGAGAAAATTCGGATTAACCAAAATCCATTTTTGTTAAACTATTTACAAGTGTCAATTTGGTAATACCATCTTATAGACCATATATGGTAATATCTTTTTATGCAAAAAGAAAAACATTAAATCTTTTGAAATATAAGACATATCTCATGATTGGGATGCAGTCATTTTTATTCTTAATGTCCAGGGAAAAGGAAATGACCTTGACCTGACCTTGACTCTAATATAAGACGGTCAAAACTCATCTAACTGGTACCATCACTTAGTAATATTGTCTTCTCGATTCTGAGAAAATTTCATTAATTTTAAATACGAGAAATACAGTTTTGTGTGAAAATAATCCTACCTTAAGAAGTGTTCCTACATGTGTGTATGCTACGGCTAAATCTTATCTAATATCTTCTATTAGTTTTCAATGCAAAATTCATAACTGAGTTGATGAAACAAAGAACTTTCTGGTTGTAAAGGTTCTTGAGGGTATGAGAAGAACTGTTAGGTCTGCAGATGCAAGGCTACCTATAACCTTGCAGTTGCTTACTAAAGTTGTTAGGGTTTTACCGAGCATTTGTAGTGATAGTTATGAAACAAAATTGTTCAGAGCTGTTTATTTATTAGCCTTCCTTGGTTTTCTCAGAATAGGGGAATTCGCATTGTCTACTGGTAATAGTGTTCATACAATTTTACAAGTGACTGATGTTCAATTTCAAGCTAATTACTCCAAGGTTTTTGTACACATAAGAATGTCAAAATGTGATCAGGATAGAAAGGGGGTTTCTTTAGCCATTGATAAAAGTGAGGGAATCCTGTGTCCAATAGCAAGTTTGATAGATTATCTTGCAGTAAGACCAAAAATTAAAGGGCCATTATTTATCCACTATGGAAAAAATCCCCTTACTAGGTATCAGTTCTCTTGAAATCAGAAGTCTCTGTTGAGTCTGTAGCTCTACTGGTTTGTAATTATAATAAAGGAAGAGAAAAATAGCAGTTGAGAGATAAAACTTTCCAAAAGCAATAAATAAAATAATGATCCTTGATTAAGTCCCTTTTTGTGGCAAGATTGCGATAAGACTACAACTGTAGGAGTAGCTTTTAATAAAGTTTTACAGAATGTTCAAGTTTAGTTACCATGGCATCATCGTTCATCAAAATCAGAAACACTATGTATCTAAGTGTAGTCTACTTGTTTGCCAAGTTATATTGAAATCAGACCAAAACTGTAGGAGGAGTAGCATTTCAAAAGTATTTCACAAAAAATTCTTTTTTTAGTAACCACGGCAACACCGTTCATCGAAATCAAAATCTGAAACACAGAATTATGTATCTTAGTGTAGTCTACTGGTTTGCCAAGTTATATTGAAATCAGACCAAAACTGTAGGAGGAGTAGCATATCAAAAGTATTCCCAAAAATTTATTTTTTAGTAACCACGGCAACACCGTTCATCAAAATCAAAAACCGATAGAAAAATTATGTATCATAGTGTAGTCTACTTGTTTGCAAAGTTACATTGAAATCAGACCAAATCTTTAGGAGGAGTAGCATATCAAAAGTATTTCACCGAAATTTCTATTTTCTGTAACCACAGCAACATCGTTCATCGAAATCAAAGACCGATACATAGAATAATATGTATCTTAGTGTAGTCTACTCGTGTGCCAAGTTATTTTGAAATCAGACCAAAACTGTAGGAGGAGTAGCATTTTAAATGTATTTCATAGAAATTTTCTATTCTTAGTAACCACGGCAACACCGTTCATCGAAATAAAAAACCGATACACAGAATTATGCATCTTGTTTTAGTCTACTTGTGTGCTAAGTTATATTGGAATTAGACCATTACTGTAGGAGGAGTAGCATTTTGAAAAATTGTTTATGGACAGACAGACAGACGGACGGACGACGGACGCATTACTATCGCATAAGCTCTTCTGGTCTCTTACCAGTGGAGCTAGAAAGGGGCATCACTTGCAAAACATCAAAACTTCCTGCATAAAAGAACATTAAAATCTTTGTCCGTTACAAATTTGTTTGTGCTCGTATATCAATTTTCTTGCTAAATAAGGAATAAAATGTTCTTGGTAATACCGGTATACAAATCTACAAATTATATCTGGTTTGTCTACAAAGTTTCAAGAAATTCATTCCAGTAGTTATATATGCTGACAAACTGTTACGAAAATTCCTCAGTAATTTCGGAATGTAGGTTCGTGTTTAATAAAGGTTATCTCCTCTGGATAAACTAGGTTATTTTGAGCACATAATTATTGACTATAGAAAGATAGACAACTCTTACTTGTCACATTTATACAACTGGGCATGCGCAAGGTAAACTTCCTTTTCCTGTTGAACAACAAAGCTGCTGGTACCAAAGATTTAACTGAAGAAGCTCATTCCAATATTGTTAGGTATTGTTATTTGGGCAGAAAAACTAGCTTCTAATAAATTGCTATTACATGTAGACAATTTAGCACTTGTTCACATAATTAACAACAAAACGTCAAAAAATAAGAGAGTTATGGTTTTGCTGAGAGCCTTGGTCCTCAAAACATTGCAGAATAATATTCAGATCAAATGTCAACATATTCAAGGTATTAAGAATGATAAGGCAGATGCTCTTTCTCGTTTTTAGTTTTCGAGGTTCCATCAGCTGGCTCCTGGGGCTCGGCCTTATCCCTGTCCAGTTCCTTTGCAATTTTGGCAAATTATTCATCAACTGTAGAGAACCTGGTAGATGCTAGCATTTCGGACAATACAAACAAAGTTTATAGGCAGGGCATTCAAACCTTTATTAAATTTAGAGTAGATAACTCTTTTCCACAATTGTGCCTCCACCTGTTGACCATGTCATCAATTTTGTTGTACACATGTCAGAGAAAAAAATGCGCCTTTTCAACCGTCAAGTGTTATCTGTCTGGTCTGAGCTTTTTTATAAACTTTCATGGATGGCCAAATTCTGTGGAGTCATTTTTAATTAAAAAACTGCTTACTATAGCTAGTTACAAAAAAGTTGACTGTGTCTAGTGATATTAGAAGGCCTATTACTTTGCACTTATTAGGTCGTATCATAAATACCTTGCCATATGTTGCACATTCTTTATACGAGGCAACATTATTTCAATGTGCCTATTCAGTAGCAGTTTTTGCTTTGCTTAGAGTCAGTGAAGTAGTATACCTTCAATCTGATAGTGTTCAGTTATTACAAGACCATGTTAGTCTACTGATTAAAAGTTCTAAGACTGATCAAATGCACAGGGGTTCAGCAGTTAAAGTTCCAAAGCATGCCCAGTCATTAATTTTGTTTACAATACTTCAGAAATTTCTTGCAATGCGTCAGACAATTTCAACTACAAAATTTTTTGTGCATTTCAACTCCAAGCCTTTGACTCAGTATCAGTTTTCTACAATGCTCAATAAATGTTTATCATTTTTGAATATCAACACATCGGTTTTTAAATCTCATTCTTTTAGAATTGGTGGGACCACACATCTGTATTTAAATGGTATGAGCGAAGCTGAAATCAAAACCATTGGCAGATGGAGTTCTGCTGCCTACAAGTCATATATAAGGCCAATTGTTTAATAAGTTAGATGCAAATTTATTTTGTTCAAAATCATTTCAGATTGCATATGGATCATTGGTTCATCTTTGATATTTTGGGCTCAGAAATATGCTCAACAGAGAATGCTTAACAACCTGGGATTTGAATCACATAGGATAATTTGGCATGGAATAAGGGGTATGGTTTGGTCACAGCTTTATCCAACCATCCAAAAGAAATTAAAAGATAATAACCCACCAACAATCCTAGTAATACACTGTGGTGGCAATGATATTGGTAATCCTCATAATACGTTGAAGGGTTTACAAATGTACATGAAATCTACCATTGTAAATATTTCACAATTAATGCCAAAGACAGTTATTGTTTGGTCTCATATTTTACCACGAAGTAATTGGACCTTATGTCTTTCTAACAATGATGGAGAAAATTGGAGAAGAAGAATCAATTCTGCACTTGCTACTTTTGTTGTTAAGAAAATGTGTGGGGCCTCCATTAAATATCCTGATATTTTAAAAAGACATGTAGCCCTTTTTCGCAAAGATGGTGTACACTTGTCAGACTTGGGTAATGACTTGTTTGTGAATTCTTTAAGATATGCTCTGGGGGTGTTTTTGTCAACCACTGACAGATTTTATCCTACTACTCCCACATGTACTTGTTAAGTCTTGTCATGGCCAATCCTTGAAGTTGTGAAGTTGCGTATTTGAAAATTGAATTGTATACAACTACTGGTTGAGTGTTAAATTGATAAATATATATTTGTATTGGTGAATGCAAAATTGACCGCCTAGATTTGTTGGCGGATGACCCACAAAAAATATGTTTTGTGGTTCATTTGGCAGAATTTTGCAGAGAATGCCACCTCCATGGGGCACTGTTTTTCCAGGTCCCTTGGGTTAAGGTGGTGTTTCTACTGCTTTGAGTTGTTTGTGTATATGCTGCCATATCGATTTGAAGATCGGCGCATATTTTGTTGTTTTGTTAAAAAAATTGTGAATAAATGGCCATGACAAGTACGCCAAACATTAATTATTTGTAATATTTTAATTAGGCTAGGTCAATAAGGTCATTAGGATATTAAGTATCAATTTGTAGAAATTATTGTTATTGGTCTTCCAATGGTAAAGAACAATGGTTTGTAAGGGGTGCTTTGCTGTCTAAAAATAATAAAGTTTATCTCCTCTGGATAAACTAGGTTATTTTGAGCACATAATTATTGACTATAGAAAGACAGACAACTCTTACTTGTCACATTTATACAACTGGGCATGCGCAAGGTAAACTTCCTTTTCCTGTTGAACAACAAAGCTGCTGGTACCAAAAAATTTAACTGAAGAACCCTCCAACCCTCTCCAAGTTATAACTTCTGCAGAAATGCTTGGCCTTAAAAGATTTTTTTATAGAATTAATTGATGTTAAAATATTGTATATAAATTGATGAGCTAATGTTACTCTTCATTTGTATTTTAATGTTTTTGATGTGTGTAGAACAAAAGTTCTGCTGCTGTTTTAAATTTATATTTTCAGCGTCATGGACCATAAGATGATTGATCGTATGCATATCAACAAAGACTCGAGATAGAACAGAGAATTTATGCGCCAGTGACTTTAAAGAATTTTGTGTAGTGATGGTATAAAAACTATGTTAATGGCAGAATTTTGCAGAGAATGCCACCTCCATGGGGCACTGTTTTTTCCAGGTCCCTTGGGTCAAGGTGGTGTTTCTACTGCTTTGAGTTGTTTGTGTATATGCTGCCATATCGATTTGAAGATCGGCGCATATTTTGTTGTTTTGTTTAAAAAAATTGTGAATAAATGGCCATGACAAGTACGCCAAACATTAATTATTTGTAATATTTTAATTAGGCTAGGTCAGTAAGGTCATTAGGATATTAAGTATCAATTTGTAGAAATTATTGTTATTGGTCTTCCAATGGTAAAGAACAATGGTTTGTAAGGGGTGCTTTGCTGTCTAAAAATAACATATGATAATAAACACATTTAAAATAATTAAGGGAAAGAAAGTTATGCTGTAGTCTAATAATTTTGTAGTGTACCGGTACTTATGAAATTATCTAAGGCAAAGTACTAACTGGAGGAGGGGAGAACATTTTGTGTACTTCTGTCCAACATTTTTTGGGTGTATTTGTGTGTTGAATCAATAATATTAATGGGGGTCTTTTCAGGTCGTATGATATTTCACATCAAAATTCATGACAAGCAAATTCAAAGAATTGTGGTCCCCCTCTTTCTGTGTCTTTGTGGGTGAGATGTCTTTTTTTACGGCATGTTGTGTCAAATATGTATTGTGAATGTCAAGGGGTCAGAAATCATGCCGTGCTCGGAAATATCATGTCACAGGTTATGCACATGTCAATTATGGAAGTCCTGTCTCTTCTCAATCAAAAGTTATAAAGAAAATTAACATTTTTGAAAAGTAGTTACAAGCAATACATACATATGTAGGTTTGATATGTCCCCTCATTCAAAAGTCATGACCAAGGATAAGGTATTTGAAAAGTAGCTCAAAGGTACGAGGTCACGAGCTCAATAATCATAATGTATTAACTGAAAAGATTTGCCACAGATAATATACATCTTTAATATGAAAGCCCTATCAATCATCAAAATCAAAAACACAAAACTGATAATTATGTATCTCAGTATAGTCTACTTGTATGCCAAATTATATCAAAATCAGACTCAAACTGTATTTGGAGTAGCATTTTGAAAGTATTTCACAGATAATTCGATTTTTATTAACCAGGGCAACATCGATCATCGAAATCCAAAACAGATAAATAGAATTATAATGTATCTTAGTGCAGTCTACTTGTGTGCCACGTTATATTAAAATCGGACCAAAACTGTAGGGGGAGTATCATTTTGAAAGAATTTCACAGAAATTTCTATTTTAAGTAACCACGGCAACACCGTTCATAGAAATCAAAAACCGATACACAGAATTTTATGGAACGCCATGGCTGCCTTATGTTAGCTGACTTTATTATATGCTGTGGGTTTGTAAATATATGCTGTGGGTTCGTAATTATATGCTGTGGGTCTTTAATTATATGCTGTGGTTCTATAATTATATGCTGTGGTTCTATAATTATATGCTGTGGATCTATTATTATATGCTGTGGACCTGTTATTATATGTTGTGGATCTATTATTATATACTGTGGGTTTATTATTATATGCTGTGGGTCTATTATTATATGCGGTGGTTGCATTTTTATATGCTGTGGTTTCATAATTATATGCTGTGGGTTCATAATTATATGCTATGGTTCTTTTATTATATGCTGTGGGTTCATAATTATATGCTGTGGGTTCATAATCGATTATATGCTGTGGTTCTTTTATTATATGCTGTGGTTTCATTATTATATGCTGTTGGTTCATAATTATATGCTGTGGGTGTATTATTGTATATTCTGTCGGTTTATTAGAAACTAGCTTTTCGAATCAGGACTTCTCGTTTTTGGAGTTTACTTGCTCAAAATTGCGGCAACTGCAACAGGGCTTACCGTAATATGAATGAGAGTACCAAATCCTTGAATGAGCACATTGCTTTATTTGTGGTGCCACAAATAAAGCCATCTGCTCATCTGGGGATTTGGTACTCTCATTGCTAGCGCTCTCGAGCGCTAGCAACTACGTTAGTCCAAATTCCTTGAATACGCATGCTTGTCGTGCATTCTGGGAAAATTGTGAAAACTACCATAGGTAGACCGTACGATAACAATTTCGTTGTATCATTAAATAACTTAGGTCATATAATGCAAAGATTCTAGATATCTAGCTTGTGAGTTCTACCTCCATCCTGGAGAATGCCGTCAACCTCATAAAAAGTCTCTTTTTAGCTTTTCAAAGTTTATTGAATTGGCAAGACACAATAAGCGATTGATACTTCCACACTAATATAATTTTAATTCTTTAAAATACACTTCACAAAAGATTATACCTCTAACAATCAGACTTCATACACATTAAACATTAAAGACTTCGGCAAAATAAATAGTTAACCACGAACCTTCCTTTCTGTATTTAAAAATTGCTACGGCGCTAGCTCGCCTATCTTTTTTTTTTTTTTTAAATAAAGTTGTTCCTTTTACGGTTAGGCCTGTTGCAGTTACAGCCAATTTCGAGCATGTATAACGTCCAAAAACGAGAAGTCCTGATTCGAAAAGCTAGTTTCTAATAAACCGAGAGATTATATAATAATACACCAACAGCATATAATTATGAACCTACAGCATATAATAATGAAACCACAGCATATAATAATGCAACCACAGATATAATAATAGAACGACAGCATATAATTATAAACCCACAGCATATAATCATGGATCCACAGCATATAATTATAGAACCACAGCATATAATAAAAGACCCACAGCATATAATTACAAACCCACAGCATATAATAATAGACCCACAGCATATAATTATAGAACCAGAGTATATAATAATAGATCCACAGCATATAATTATATACCCACAGCATATAATAATAGACCCACAACATATAATTATAGAACCACAGCATATTATGATAGATCCACAGCATATAATTATATACCCACAGCATATAATAATAGACCCACAACATATAATAATAGACCCAAAGCATATAATTATAAACCCACAGCATATAATAAAGTCAGCTAACATAAGGTAGCCATGGCGTTCCATAGAATTGTGTAGTCTACTTGTGTGAATAGTTATATTGAAATCGGACCTAAACTGTAGGAGTAATAGGATTTTGAATGTTTTTCACAAAGCTTTCTATTTTTAGTAACCACGGCGACACCGTTCATGGAAATCAAAAACTGATACACAGAATTATGTATCTTAGTGTAGTCTACTTGTGTGTCAAGCTATATTGAAATCAGACCAAATCTGTAGGAGGAGTAGCATTTTGAAAAACTTGTTTACAGACACACAGACAGACAGCTAGACGGACGGACGACGGACGTATTACTATCGCATAAGCTCCTCTGGTCTCTGACCAGTAGAGCTAAAAATCATTTCAGGTTTTGGGTTCAGGGACATTATAGGGCCCATTCATTTCGTATCAGGGCAGCCACTTCAGCATTTGAATCGGGTTGTTCACAAGATGTCATAATGGAAACAGGGCGTTGGACGTCTAGAGAATACAAATCATACATACGATGATCTAATGGGCAGATGTTGGAGGCAAATGAGTTGTAATTTTGTAAATATAACAAGATTTATTCAGATTATTACATAGATTTGTAGAGGTCCCTGAAGTTAAAGTCTGGTGTGTGGGCTCCTCTATTACTAGTATTAACAAGAGGCCCAGGGGCCACAGCGCTCACCTGAGCACATCAGGCTTGAATTTACTCCCAACCCCCCTCCAGGCGTTCATCATTTGAACAAACTAGAATCTACACTACCTGAGGATGATTCCATATAAATATCACTAATCATAGCTTTGAAGTACTTGTAAAGAAGATTTTAAAAGATTCCCTATGTATCCCTATGTAAAACTTGGGTCGGCCATTTTGGCTCCACCCTAGCCCCGGGGGTCATGATTTGAACAAACTTAAATCTCCTCAACCAGAGGATGATTCCACATGAGTTTCATCTTTCCTGGCCCAGTGGTTCTGGAGAAGAAGATTTTTAAAGATTTTTCATATATATTCCTATGTAA